AGAGCCAGCCCCATGGGCATAGCTGGGGGATGATGTCAGGGCTTCCCAAAGCAGGTCCTTGTCATCACACCACCTGATGTGTCTACAGGGACAATAGCCAGCGCACAGCACTCCCAGAGAGCCGCACCCTGGGAGAGATTGGAGCAGAGGCCCAGGGCCACAGCACAAAGCTGATAGGCTTGGTTGTTCCAGCGACAGCCAGATAAGCTGACCTTTGTCCCTCTCTCCATGAGTCTGGCTTGAACCAGGAAGGAGGGAGTAATGTGCAGCCTTTCCTGTGACAATCCCCTTGCTCTGGAGAAGGTCTGTTTCGGCTTTCCCAGAATGAACCACTTGTTTTTCTGGCTCCGGAGTTGTGCTGACCTTTGCAAAGCTGACCAGAGGATAAACTGACTCCTGGGTGGTCTTCTTTATTTTGATAACGGTAAACTTGCGACAAGCAGCTACTCCTAACAAAAACAATAACAATAACAGCAGCTAGAGATTATTGAACGCTTGCACATCAGGGATGATGTAAATAACATAACATACATGAAACTCAATGCTTTACATATGTTGTTATTTTCATCCTCAGAACCCTGAGAGGTAGCCATTATTATTATTCCCATTTTATAGAGGGGGAAACTAAGACTCCATGAGGTAATAGCTTGCCAACTGAAGTGGTAGAACCAAGAAACAAACAAAGCCTGTTTGACTCCAGCGTCCAACTTCTTACTGACCACACCAAACACCACATACATGATCTCAAAAGGGAGCCACTGACATTTTTCTCTCAGGGGCCTCTCCGCTGTTACGGTTCTCTTCATCAACAGGGACTGAGCTGAGTGTGTAGCTGTATGTGGGCTCTCTGCCCTTGCACTCATCTTCTGCCCTGGCAACAGCAAATTCAAACCACTTGTAGAGCTGAGGAAGTGGTGATTGGCGGGGACCCATGACAGGGTCTTTCGGCCTGGGTAGCCCCTAACTGGTCCTCAATGTGTCTGTCAGCATATTCTGACCTGGCACATCATGCTTTTTACATACCAGACCACAGTCATATTTGGGGCCTTGGACTTCACCCTGTTTGTTCATTCAGGTGTAAACAATGACCCTGTAGGTGGTTGCTATTCATGGTTTCCTCATGGATTTAAGCAGAGGAACCTCTTTAAATGATTGATGTCACTTGATAAAGTAGACTCTTAGAAGCTGTGTCTCTCCAGGGATTGGCTCCCAAAATAATCCTCTCCCCTGGCTGGGGGTGTTTCCTCCTCACCCTTCTCACCCCAACTCTGCTCACCAATAGTCTGTCTCTTCCCTTCCACTCCCCCCCCCCTTATTGCCAAATGCCCCCTCCCTTTCTGTTGTCCTAGCCACACCTGACCACCATTTCATGTTCAACTGAAACCTGTCTCCTCCAGGAGTCTTCTAGGACAACTCCACTCTGCTGTCATCTCCAGCTAACCAGCAACAGCACTCCCAGGCAGTGCAGCCCTTGCGCATTTTCCAGTTGTGTCCCAGGACAATACATAGATAACCTTCTTCTCATGGTTTTCTGTCTCTTTACCATATCGTATCTGATTACAATTCTGCTTCTCTCCACTTCTCTTAAAGTGTGAAGGCTGGAAATGAACAAAATAACTGAAGAATTTTCTGTCCAGTGTTGGGGGAAACGGGACTGATTACCAACTCCTTTATTCCAGACACTCGACTTCTAGACTTTTCCACATCACTCCAGTGCCTCGACCCAAATGCCCAATGTTAAAGGGCAAAGGACATGCTGATTTACTGGTGGCAACAGGGCTGCCACAATTCTTGCAGCCCTTTTCTGAGACAACCTCCAAAGAAATAATCACAATCACCTTTCCCAGAATCCCTTGCTTTCTTTGTTCTCATAATTAAGGTGTCACATTCAGCCCCTCAAATCATAAAGAGTCAAGCAAAAGATGTTAGGAATATGGAGGTGTCCTTAGTACATGTGTGTAGACGAAGGAGAGACAGCCATTTTCTGTGCCAGCTCCCCACAACCAACCCACAGGCCTTACAGTGCTCCCTAAACAACATGTCACTGATTTTCCACCCCCTCTGCCGGTGGCTCTGAGAGCACAAAGCCGGGACCCAAGGCTTAGCTCAGTCTCTAAATAAATAGGTGGGCTGGACCTTACAATGTCCTCAGAACAAAGAAAATGTGTCCCCTACTCTGACTTCCTGGTTCATTACGAAGCAAAACAAAAGGTGATTGTTTTTGTTATTGCTGTCCTAGTAAGTGGACTACTGATACAAGCTACTGTTTTTATCATGCCCTCTCACTCCACTTGAAAAGTGGGGTGGTTGGGGGATAAGAAGAGAAGCGATTCTCTTTCTTTCTTCCCTACCTCTCCCTTCTTTCTTACAACATTTCTACCCATATGTTACACTACTTGGACAGCTTTGCAATTTGGCTAATTCCCTCTAATTTGTACTTATTTGAGATGTGGTGCTGTGCTTGGGTGTGGGTGGAAATGGTGGTGGTGGGAGGTGGTCTTTATCACCTGAAGTATCAGACAGCACAGAAAAGAGCCATGCCAATTTAGAATGGAGATGTGGAGAGGGAATATAAGATAATAAAGATCTCAGATGGGGGTTCTGTTGGGCAGAGAAGGGCCTGGCACAGCCACATGCAGGGTTCTCTGAGAACAGGAATGGTATTGGCTCAGGGTATGTACCAAGTAGATCCCAATGAAATGCTGTGATTTCTGGGGTGGGGAGGCTTAACACCCACCCAGCCCCCCAACTTCCATGCCCACCTGGCCCTCAATATACATGTAATCCTTTTAATAGGGACAAAACCTTTAATTCCACAAATAGAAATGGGACTTGACATTTCAATGAAAACATGGCTTCTAAAATAAAGAAATGTATGGGCTGAGTTGACAATGGAAGCATAGCCATGGAGGCAACTGGAAGGACCTTCCTGGGAAGATCTCAGGCAAATGATCACCTTCAGAAAGGAATATATATATATAATTTTCACAAAGCATGAAAATGAAAAATATAAGCTTATTTGCAGAGTGAAGGGTTTGCTGTGAGGCAAGGTGGAGGAAAGGTTGGGAACTAACTCTGGACTCTTAAAAGAGAGAAGGAAGCGTTTGAGACCAGAGTACTGAAGGGGGAGTAGAGTGACCCTTGATCTCAAAGAAAAAGCTGGCATTTGTCAAATATCCAACGAAACCCCCCTGTTAGGATATGAATATTTTTCTGATGCAAATATAAGAAAATGCTAGCATGCATTTATTTCAGGTGATATGTAGATCGGTATCTTATATTATTCTCTGTACTTGTCTGTTATTTCAAATTTTTATAGTTAAAAAAGTGCACCTTAGAAAATAAAAGTTCCCTTTACTATAATGGAATGCTGTGCAGCTGCTGCCAAAGAAATACTTTTTTTTAATTGAGGAAGATCTCTCTGTGCTCGCATGGAAAGATATCCAGGAAACATTATAGCGTGAACAAAGCAAGATTCAGAACAGTGTATTTCAGCCAGTCCTATCTGTATTAAATATGTTTTAAATTTGTGTGTATATGCATTGCTATATGTCTAGAATTAAATCTAGAAGAGGAAACAAATTATTAATGGGAAGTGGGGTTATTATGTACAGTTCTTATAGTGTAAATTTTTATAAGTGTATATTACTTTTATAATCATAGAAAAGCAATGATTTTATATAAAGAATCCTTGACTCCCTGGAGGAGCAATGTGGTCCCCAAGCTTTCCCAGGTTAGTGGGCTGCCCAATGGGCCAGCGACTGGAGTTTCCACCTGCCCTGTCCTTGTCTGGCCGCTTTCCTGATTTGACCCTTGGATGTCTGAGTGAGGGGCCATGACAGATGCCAGCAGTGGTGGCGATGACAAGCCCCAAATGATATTTGTTCCATTACTTCCAGCTCCTCGTTGCCTTTCCAATCTGCATGGTGAAAGCTCCTCTCTCTTATCTGCACAGGGCAGGAGTCAAAAGTTCTTGTCAGTGTGATTGCAGAATACCGGGCTGGAAAACGTCTTGATAATACCTAAATTCCTTTAGAAGAGCTGTGCCTGGAATCAGGTCAGATGAGCGATGTGGCCTCAGCACATTCTGTACTGTGCAGCTGGACGATAAACTAGATGAAATTTGGCAATTCAAATGCATAAGGGATGTAGAAGGATGTTATTACAGTCCCATCTAATCTGATAACCCCTCTCCTCAAGCTAATGTATCTATCTGTTCCCCTTCAAAGACCATGTCAGCTGCAGAGGAAGAATTTTTGAATGTGTGAGCCGGTGAGGATTCCCAAAACAGACTCAAAGATAAGAGGAATCAAAAGAAAATCCAAATAATAAACAAGTAAAGATCACGCTGAGGCCCCTGAGACACATTTATGGCTTTTATAAACAGATATGCATTAGTTGAATGGGGCTTTGGGACACTCTGGTGACATGAACTAATTCTGCCATTTAGGAATTTAAACTTAGTAGCTGTCCTAGCTTATCCTTGTTAGCAAAGTTTGCTAAACACTTTTGTGCTGTGTGCCCTGCTTTATATTTGAACATCATGCAAATGGCACACTGTCATCTCAATTATAGCTCTCGTCGTAAACCCCGAGGGAAATGAGGCGTCCTCCTAATGCTGTCTCCATTGGCCTCGTTCTGCACCCAGTGACCCTTTTTCTTTCCTTCATCTTCCCTGATTTAGTTTCAGAAAGATATGGGTTCACATAGAAAATGTGCAGTAATCAATAAGCCTGAAAATAAAATTTAATACACGATAGTGGACATTTTATATGTCACTCATTCTTCCTGGCCAAATGTATCACTTTTACAAACACCAATTCCCATAGGGATCAAATAGACAAGCAACCAAATCATTTAAAATATATCTTCACTCTTACTTGGAACTGCAAACAGATCTAAGGAACTAGTCCTAATAGGAATGACACATTGAAGCATTTCCAGAAAGCCCTTTGATGTGCCTCTACCACTGACCGAGTTCTTGGATTTTGCTCCCTCAGGTAACCAGGTGAGTTTCTCCAAATCAGCAGACGCATTTGCCTTTGAAGAGGACAGCAGCAGCGATGGGCTTTCTCCAGATCAGACCCGAAGCGAGGACCCCCAGGGCTCAGTGAGATCCCCCCCAGACGCTAAAGCTAAAGTGACCCCTTTGGCAGGCCCTCTTGGGACAATCCAGGTAAACCAACCACATCTCAGCCTGTCATCTCCTCATCTTAAAATCAAGTGTCACATACGCTTTGAGACCCAGAGATGTCCCTTGATAGCACGTCACCTTGGTACCCCTTCTTACCCTATTGGGTCCAGGGCTATGTATGTAGTGGCAAAAATTTCCATAAAACCCTGAAAGAGAATCTCAGGATATACCCTTGACTTATATTTTTTAAGCATCCACTCTTCCAAGCAGATACCTTTTATCTCCATTTTTACAAAATAAAACTAAGGCTCACTGAGATTTCGATAACCCACCAACAATCTCCCAGATAGAATGTGCCAGAGCAGAGCAGGGCTGGTTTCAAAGCCTTTCCAGGCACTAAGCAGTCCCCATAGGGTGCTGGGGTGGGGGTGGGGGACAGGAAGTGCTGATTGGCTGCAAAGCAGGGAGGCCCAAGTTGGTTCTACCATTAGCCAAACCACTGCAAGGTCCACTTCCAGCCCCGACCCAAGCACAACACTCATCTCTCTCTGGACAAATTCACCAACTCTCAAGATGTGGGGAATGTATATTGCAAATACTGTTAAAAGCACATTCATAAAGAACAATAATGTGCCAGGGCCAGCGCTAGACACTTTACAAGTGTTTTCTATTAGATATCGCAGTGCTCTCCAGGCAGGTATCACTGATGTTGATTCTGACAGAGAAGGAACTAAGGCTCCATGATACTGAGGAGCTGTGTGGCCTCCAGAAACACTTCAGGCTCCCCACCGCCCCTGGAGCTCGCACCTCTAGAAGCCACACACCAGTCTCCTCAGACGGCATGATGGTACTCGTGGAGCCCTAAGAAGAGGTGTGTGTGGGTGCCCACACCTGAGGGGAAGGAGACACACTGTATGGCAGTGAGATGTGAGTCTTCCACCCCTGGTGCCACTCATACCGGCTCTGGAGAGAACCCTCTAGGGCAGCTGTTCTCAACCTTCCTAACGCCGCAACCCCTTAATACAGTTCCTCATGTTGTGGTGACCCCCAACCACAAAATTATTTTCGTTGCTACTGTATAACTGTAATTTTGCTACTGTTATGAATTGTAATGTAAATATCTTTTTGTATTCCGATGGTCTTAGGTGACCCCTGTGAAAGGGTCATTAGACCCCCAAAGGGGTTGCGACCCACAGGTTGAGAACCGCTGCTCTAGATCGTCAGTCCCTTCCCTTTAGGCACAGCTTACTCCTCCTGGCCTCACAGGAGTTATTTGATGGATTGAAATTAGATGTTATATTTGAAAACATTTGTTACACTGTAAAGCACCATACAGATATCAGGGACAGTTTGGTAATTATCATCCAGGGCCCTTTTTCCCGAAACTATGCTACTTACTGGCCGTTGTCATGCCCTCGTTCACTGCATTGGAGCAAAGCTAAGGCTGCCAAGGAGAAAATGTGGAATGGGAGAAAAAGAGGAGACATAAAAAGCAGAGCCGAAATAGTCATATATCTATTGTGCAAGAGTTCATAATCAAAGCATTTTTCCTTCCCCTGCATGCCACAGCTGGTCTTTGCAGCCAAACTTCTTTGATAACATCAAACAGTATATCAGACCATTTGTACTATTATTCTGACAGTAAATTTCTCAGCTTCTGATATCATAATGGTTTGAGGAGAGGATACGTTCTTTTCTGCTTAACCCTAGGAGAGGGGAAGACGGCAGTAAACACTGAGCAATGCCAGGCAAAGGCCATTTTGTCATTTCACCCTGCAGCCCTATGGAACAGATGGGGACACTGAGGCTTTAAGAGGAAAGGATCCTATAGGCCTTCGCAGCAGCCAGGATTCAGGGAAGGACTGAGAAGCTCAAGGGGTATTCATGAGCAGCCCCTGCCCCTTTCTGTCACTGTCACAGCATAGAAATGAAGGAGAGAGAGAGAAGATAATTAATCCTTCTTCCAAGACCTCTGCATACAGAAACATGCCTCTCACAAAGGTTTTTCACGACACTATATGTACACACACACACGCCTACATATATACACACATATATACACACATGCACATAAATACATATAAACACACACACATACTCAGAGACACACACCACACACACGTATGCATGTATACTACATGCTCACATGTATAAACACAGACACATATATACACAACACGTACATATCACACATAGATACATATATGTACATATCTATACATACACCTATGTGTGCACATATGCATATACATGCAGACACATACAGATATACACAAAACACATACACATATGCACACACACACACACACATATACACACACACACACTTTCCCTCTATTTCTAACACCGGGTCATCTATTGAGTTGTCGGAAAAGCCATGACGTATTTTTTCTATGTTTTTCGTTGCAAAAATGCATCATGACTTTTCCGACAACCCAATAGATTTTTTGTCGTCCTACTTTTCCCCGAAGTTTCTCCACCCTCTCCTCCCTCTTACTTTCTTTTTCAGTCCCATTATCAAGTCCAACAGGTGGAGTGGACCTTGTCACAGACAAGTGGAACCCTCACACAGGGTGACCAGATGTCCTGGTTTGCCTAGACTAGGCCAGTTCTATAGCTGTCTTGTGGAATAATTATTAATAATGATCTCTTTCTCTCTCAAAAGTGTCCTCAGTTGGTTGACAAATTACATATGTGGCTCCTTCCCCTGGAGGAAGTAGCCTCACATGTACTTGGGTAGGAAGCTAAGATTAAAACAGCAGAGCTATCTGTGTAGGGGGAGGGAGGGCTCTACTTTAACATTTCTATGTCACACGATCTTTATTCCTGCATCCTAATAAGGCTAAAATTTGGATTTCAGGATCTTACTTCTGGCTCGGAAAATGACAGGAATGACTCGGCCTCACAGCCCGGAAACCAGCCAGATACAGGGAAGCAGGGGCTTGGCCCCCTTGGCACCCCCAATCCTGCACATGCTGCTGTAAAGGTAGGAAGGGCCCGCCTCCAGGCACCTGCCTGAGTACTCGCTCACAGACCTGAGGGCCTTGCACAGTGTAAGGCCTATACCATTCAAGCCAGTCTCCATGTGGGAATACTAGAAATGGATGGGTTGCATTCACAGTAGATGAGACACTCTAAGCATTATAGCGTATGTTTGGTTTCATTTTCTCAGCATTATGTCTAACAGTTCACAGAGTGCTCTCTCTTCAATTAACTGCCAGCTTTGTCATTTGATCTTCTGCATAATATTTTATCCCAAATAACTTCTAATTGATTTTGGAGCCTGCTTTCTCAGCATTTAATGAATGCTGGGATGGCTCTTATGAAATATTTTTTTAACTGATTATAATTTAGTAAGAACCAGTGTTAAGGCAATAGCCCATAGTCCCCTCCACTGCATACACAGAAGTTGGTTTCATGTTCTAAGTAGACAGTAGGTATTGCCCAGAAGCTCCCCCACCAAACTGCAATACCTTAAACCTAGCTTATAATTCACTCAGTTCAACAAGCTTTGAAATTATGGGACTAGAGATGAAATTTGTTCTTTGCTGGTGGAGGGAGATGATTCACATTGTTTCTAATGTTGTGTCCTAAGAAAACTTTTATTAATATTTCTACCAAAGTATTTAAATTTTCATAATTCAAATTAGCCGAGCCTTCAGCCTCATTGCATACTAAGAAAACGAGATCATTGCCCAGAGGAAAGACAGGTCAGTTTCAACGAAGAGCCGATTCATCCAGCAGGACTGGTTGTTTACATAAGAGACAACATCTTTCTGATTGGTCGATGCCTGTGACTTCTCAGTTGTTAAATATTCATCATCTCTAAATTAATAGGATGGTAGAGGGCTTCTCAAAGAAGGGGCTGCCAAGCTGGAGGAAAACATCTCCATCTACTCACTTTGTAAGGTTCATAGGAGGCCAGTGAGAGACTACCAAAAAATCCTGTGAAAACTGGAGAATCCTGTGTAAGAGAAAGGTGTTTTCAATGCAGGCTCTGAGAAGGTTGAATAAGGAGTTGAATAAGACATGATTCCTGCCCTCAAGGAGCCTGTATTCTAGTCAGGTATCACAGGCACCACTAACCCATATAGTGTTTTGAGCAAGTAAGAAAAATGTGCCCTACAGGACTTGAATAGACATTTCTCCAAAGATAAAGAAAGTTCCACCAAGCACATGAACAGGTGCTCAGTGTCATTAGTCATCAGGGAAATGCAGCTCAAAGCCATGATGAAATACCACTTCACACCTACTAGAATGGCTATAATAAAAAAACAAACAAACAAACAAACAAACAAACAAACAAACAAAAACAGAGAAAGCAAGTGCTGGTGAGAATATGGAGATCGGAATTCTCATACATTGCTGGTGGAGATGTAAAATGGTGTGTCCACTAAGGAAAACAGTGGTGATGCCTCAATAGTAAACGTGGAATTATTATAGGACCCAGTAATTCCTCTCCTAGGTATATGCCCAAAAGAACCGAAAACAGGTGTTCAAACAAAAACTTGTACATGAATATTCATAGCAACACTACTCACAGTAGTCAAAAGCTGGAACTAACCCAAGTGTCCATCAACTGAAGAGTGGATAAACATGTGGCATGTCCATACAACGGAATACAATTCAGCCGTAAAGAAGAATGAAGTACTGACATGTGCTACAATGTCGATGAACCTTGAAAACATTATGCTGAGTGATTGAAGCCAGACACAAAAGGTTGCATATGGTATGATTCCATTAATATGAAATATCCTGAATAGCCAAATCCATAGGGACAGAAAGCAGATTCATGGTTTCCGGGGATGGCAGGAAGGAGGGAATGTGGGAGTGACTGCTTGATGGGCATGGGGTTTCCTTTTGGGGTGATGATAATGTTCTGGAACTAGATGTTGCTTGCACAAGATTGTGAGTATAATAAATGCCACTGAATCCTGTACTTGAAAATGGATACTATGGTGATTTTATGTTACTTGTATTTTTACCACAATACAAAAAAAGGTTCCTCTTCCCCAGGCAGCCCCAGCCCCCTTGGGGCCAATAGCTTGAGAAAAAAAATGGGGGCTAGATTTCAGCTTCCCTCACCTCCTCAGCAGGGTATGCAGTGGTGTGACCATTATCAGGCAGCCTCAAAAGACCATATGAAAATATGAGACCTGCAGATAAGAGACATCACTGTGGGTTAGGACAGGCTTCCCAGGTGAGCTAGGGTTTGAGTTCGACTCAAAATATGAGCTAGAGTCAGACAGCAAGTGGAGGGGGTTGTTGCAGACAACAGAAAATTACAAGGAAGAGAGGCAGGAGGGGTGAGCTGTTAGAGACAGATTTAGGCAGCTTGGTGAACTGTCTTCTTTGGCAGACTAGAGTTTGGACTTCATCTTGCAGAGTGGAACACGCAAACTGATTATGGTCTGCTGGGGTGGTGTGCTGTTGGCAGGCCCAGTGTGTGTGTGCAGGTTAGAATCAGAAAGCCGTTAGGAAGCCATGCGCGCTTGAGCCATGGGCTGCATCGTTCCCTCTAACATTACACTAACCTGCTTTACACGTTTATGCCTGGGCCTTCAACCACTGGACGTGGATCCACCTCTGCTTTAGAAAAATGAATGTTCTCCCCTTCTACTGGCCTTGAAGTTCTAGGTAAAAACCAAACCAAAACAAACATAAAAACCAACAACAAAAAGCCACAACTTTAGTATCCTCTGGTCCCCAGAAGAGTGTGAAACTACCAGTTCTGTGGATTCAGAGCTCTACGGGTTCAGTAGTCTTTGCCCTCACTAGCCAGATACAATAGTTCGATTTTAGTACCTTCTGGAAGACTCAGAGCCCCTGTGCTACGCCAACATGGAGAGAAAATTCCTCAGCCCCTGACGTATCTGCTAGACCCAGGACTGCAGCTCCCCCAGACCAGGCAAGTCCTAGGGTGAGGTGGGAACAGCGGCTGAGCTGCCGCAAAGTAGGGCAAAGCTGACTGCACGGGCTCAGCAGAAATTCTCCCAAGTGCAGAAGACTGATTAATTAACTAGTATGCTAAAGGATCAAAGAGCAGGGAGACACAGAGCCACCAAGCAAGCGGGAATACTTGTGCTCATTATTCATTCGTCTCCCAGAAGCCTCCTAGAGGAAACACAAAAGAGGCTCCGGTGGTGGGATGCGCTGACTCAGAGGAAAGCAAGTTGTTGTCTGCTTCCAACAGGTCACATTCAGACTATGTGTTTTGTGGTTAAAACAGGGAAGCTGCCCAGTCATGCCTGCCAGCTATTCAGGAGCCCCCTCTCCTGGACGCCACTGGCACCACACTTTCCCTCCAACTGTTCCCCCCAAATCCTCAAGAATCTTCTGTCGTGACATCCACACTCTTCATTTTGTCCTTTCAGAATAAAGTCAAGGTTTGAAAACTTACGTGTCTTCAACTGAGTACAGTGTGGACTTATTGCTGCCTAATATATGGACTATATAGAGGCCTTTTGATTTTAGGGGCAGATATAGATATAATCACACTGTCCTCTCAGACCTGTTATTATTTCAATATTATTTCTTTATCATTGTTATATTGATCATTGAGATAGAAAGTATAGAATATTTCCCCCAATCTTCAGGTGAGTAACTAAGATGTAGTAAAGCAATTGTATCACGTTCAGCAACTTCTCTTAACTTCCTAGCCTGTTCCCTTAACTTCTTTCAAAGTGACCAAATCATGCTACATGACGGGTAACTTCTGGAAAGGATCCAGCACATGGCTCACCCTTCCCATAGTAAGTAAAGTGTCATTAGTTCAGAGGGTGTCACTTCTTGATTTTATATCAGTATTTGGGGATGGTGGTAAACATATCTTACTTTTCAGCCTGAAGCAACAAACTGTATGTTCTGGATTTTGAAGGACAAGCTTAATTTCATCTAAGTTTATGTCATTATGAAGTCATTTTACTAAGTGCTTAAGCAAAGGGGACCACATGCATACAAGGTCTGGCAATTAAGTTTGCAAACTTATTGCACCAATGTTGTTAACCTTTTTTGATATCAGAGGGGTTATTCATTATGAATTTGTACCAACTGGACAAACAGTTAACCAAGTTTACTATTTGAAAGTGCTAAAAGGTCTGCATGAAAAAGACAAAAACGATCTGAACTTTTCGCCAACAATTCATGGCTCTTGCATCAGGACAATGTAACCAGCTCACACGGCACTGTCTGTGAGGGAGTTTTTAGCCAGTAAACAAATAACTGTATTGGAACACCCTCCCTACTCACCTGATCTGGCCTCCAATGACTTCTTTCTTTACCCAGACATAAAGGGAATATTGAAAGGAAGACATTTTGATGACATTCAGGACATCAAGGGTAATACAACGACAGCTCTGATAGCCATTTCAGAAAAAAAGTTCCAAAGTTGCTTTGAAGGTTGGACTAGGTGCTGGCATTGGTGCATAGTTTCCCAAGGGGAGTACTTGGAAGCTGACCATAGTGATATTCAGCAATGAGGTATGTAGCACTTTTTCTAGGATGAGTTTGTGAACTTAGTTGTCAGACCTCATACATATGAAAGAACTTTGTTATGACTCCATCCCCAGATTAGAACTTATGCTTTATTAGGCCATGGGTAGGTCTGAGGTGAGGAGAGTGCTCTCACTGAAACACCTCTCACTCTAGTCCTAGAGCCACTTCTAAGATTCAAGAGTCCCTGCCTAAGAAGTATGGAAGTGTCCTTCCAGTGTGATACACTTGAAATAGATTTGTTCCTTAGATAATGTAATGTCCCAGGATCTCTTTGCGCATGGTGATTTTGCTGTATTGTACTTCCGGGATTCAAGTACATCCAGCAGACCATCCCTCCTGCGAGATGCGCTCCACACCAAGTCACTCCCCACCATCACCTAAAGCACATGCCTTTCTTCACCCTTTTTGCAGTCCAAGTCCTTGAGTGACAACAAGAACCGCCACAAAAAACCCAAGGACCCCAAGCCAAAGGTGAAGAAGCTCAAATATCACCAGTACATCCCCCCTGACCAGAAGGCAGAGAAGTCCCCTCCGCCCATGGACTCGGCCTACGCCCGGCTGCTCCAGCAGCAGCAGCTGTTCCTGCAGCTCCAGATCCTCAGCCAGCAGCAGCAGCAGCAGCAGCAGCACCGGTTCGGCTACCCCGGGATTCACCAAGCTCCACTCAAGTAAGTCAGGAGAGCCCCGTGGTGGTGGTGGTGGTGGTGGGGAATGGAGGTGAGTTGGGGGAGCTGCAAGCAGAGGTTGGGGTGACTTCTCTCTGTCTGAGGCACAAGGACCTGCCCGCACCTTGGGACTTAGCGAGTCCTGTATGGCACCACGTCCTCATCCAGTATGCTCAGAATATGGTTCTGTTTAGAAACCATGCCCACCTTTTCCGAAACATAAGGCTGGGAGGGAGCAAGTAAATCCATGCTCCTGATAAGAGGCCTCTTTGGGAAAAGGGAAAAGATTGGCAATTTCAGATTGAATTGTGGAACAGACAGGAGGAAACATCTAAGAACACATATTGGAATTGTGGGCAACTCCAACACAGGTTACGATTTTTGAATTGGCTCAGCACTCATGCCTTAGGAAGCAACAGAGCTAAGTGACAGAGTGATATCCTCACAGATTGACTCCTAAGCCCGGTGTGTGACTTCATTGCCAGGCCACCTTTTCAATGGTCAATCTCTTCAACTATGAACTTGGGATGTGGGTGCCCTCGCCAGTCTCTGTTCTGTCTTGGATCATGCTAGCAATTATGCTGAGTGCTGAATACTATCAGGCTTCATCAGGCATGCTCCCGCCTCCACAGGACAGTGCATCTGCTAAAGCACAGGTGGATACGCCTCACCCATACGCCAAAGTCACCAGCACTCCCTCCCATCTCCCCCAAACTCAGTTTGAGTACCACTTGCCACTTGCCATCTAGCCTGCTCTTGATTTCCTCGTCCTTCTTCTTCTGCTGACATGACTTGCCTGATCCTTGTAGACACTTAGCTTGTGATCTGATCTAAATACAAGTCACCCCCACTTCATAGTCGGTGTAGAGGCCTGACCACCGGACTGTATTTCTGAGCTGATGTTGAATAATATTGTATGTCAACTAACATTATATATACATATAGTCACGGGATGTGGAGTAGAGTGTGGGA